GAGTCCCACCAGGTCTCCATTATCCCTATGACGTCATAATTATTTGCGTTAAGCAGGAGGACAAGTTCCTCCTGCTCCTGTCATTTGTGTACAGGCTCTTGCCTTGCCCACAGATTGTACCAGGGCTGGGGCAGGGGTGGGCTCCCTTAAGTGCCTTGGCCTGCTGGCTTTGCAACGGTTGCTCAGTGGGTCAGCAGTGGCAGTAGTCCCCCCATCCCTCAGCAGGCTTAGTTTAAAGCCTGGATGGAACAAGGAGACAGGGAAGCAGTGCCTGGGGAATGGTAGTCAGATCTGACAAGGACCCAGGATACAAGTGGAGTGCTATGACTAGTTGGGAGAAAGACAGACTGGGATAAGTTGCTGGGAAGCAAATGAAAGCTGGGGCCCACTGGGATTGGGAGAGGAGTTTGGTGTAAGGGACTGTCACTGGAGATGGCAAATATGAGTGGAAGGACAAGTCAGGAGGGAGGAGTGGAGTCAGACTGGGCACATCTACATTTGCAAATAATCCAGGAGCAGTTTACTGTAGAGTAAAGTACTTTAGAGTAAATTCTCCTGGGCACATGTCTACATGTGCAGGTATGTGGGAGCAGTTTTGTTGCTCCTAGCAGCAGACTGTTCCTACTCCCTGTGGCTCTGCACCAGGCCCCTGAAGCAACCAGGGGGAGCTCTAGGCTCCACCTAGGTGCTAGCCCAGAGGCTGGCGGGAAGCACAGAGTCAGGAGACAGCTGTCTCCTGGCAGGGGCTGGGGTATTGCTCCCTGACCCTTCCTGCTGCTGGGGTGGCTCCACCACTGGAGCCTGGGCAGGGACAATGTCCCCCTGCCCTGGCAGCAAGGAGCTCCCAGCCCCACCCTACAATCACAGAGCTGGGGGATGAGAGATCCTTCTCTCTCAGCCCGAGCCCTGTGGTCACAGGGCCCCGGCTGGGAGATCTTTAAAATAAAATCCTTATCTTGAGTAAAACATCTCCTGTAGATGCACTCAGTAAAGGATAAACTGCTGCAGGTAGACTAGGACTGTCTGGGCAAGGAGATGTGCTGGGAGGAGTGTTTATGGAGGAGAGATGTGGACTGGGACAGTGTCTGGAGTAAAGGACATGGGGAAGCTGGGTGAGGAGACTGGAATTTTATACTTTGCATCTTCAGTAACAGTCTATGAATATTGTTCCAGTAGCCACTACAATTCAGGAAAAATAGCCATGTCAATGGAAAATGCATAAGAAGAAGCAGCTTAGGTGAAAGCAGCTGTAGCTACACAGTGAACAACATTACAGGTTATTCTGGAATTTTGGTTGAAGGGTCATGTAACAGTTGTATAATTGTCAAGTAGCCATTATAAATAATGTAAGCATAAACAAAAGCAGAAATATTGGCAGCCCATCACAAGCATTGTGACAGGGATAAGAAAGTCCAAGAACTTCTAACAGAAGCAGCCCAGGAAGTTTGAATTATGTAAGATGCTATCTAGATGTTATTGACTTCTGTATAGAACCCAGTTAGTTGTATAGCATTACTGATCAAAAGTAGAATGTGTGTTTGGGAAGAAACCTATAAAGTCTTTCAGTCAGAGTCTGTTCCACTTTCACTAGTCTACTGGATTGCACATTTAATTCTACTTGAGGTTAATGGAAACTACGTACATATAATTTCTGCATATTAAACTTCATAATTAATGGTGAAAAATAAGATAACATTGTACACAGTTTTTGTAGTCAGAATTCCACTCATTGGAAGAGCCTGGCCAGGTATTATTAAGAAGATAATAGCTTATTGTAATGTTGTATATTATTGAAGGGAAGCAAGCCTACAGTGATGTTGTGTTGTAACCGGTAACAAGATGGAGGTTGTGTACAGTGAGATATTCCAGATCAAGAGAAATTGAAAGTCCAATTGATTCAGTTCCTTGCACTCATCCCTCAGAGTGCAGCCCTTTTTAAAGAGACAATTTCAAGTGCACTGACTGGCTTTTCTCTGTTGCCTTCTGTGGGCTTGGGAGATTTATGAGATAGATGAGCTCATTCTGTTGTATCTCTTACAGGAAGTCAGTGTAATATCTATACTACTTGAAGTGCAATACTACTGTCTGTCTCTGAGTGAACTTAGTCTTGTTTTTGTAGATTGAGAGTCACCCATACCTTCCTCAAGAAGAATTGATTAAATATTGCCAATCCAAAGGGATCTCTGTCACTGCCTATTGTCCCCTTGGAAGCCCCCAATGGCCATGGTAAGACTACTCAGTGCCTTCTTACCTCCTGTGTGGTAAGGTGTGCATTCAGTGACATAATTCAAGTATTTGACACAGAGATGACACTAATAGAAAAATTGAAAAAGTATTATAGATTTATAAAAACCCTTCATTTTTTTTGCCAGTCTACCTAAATCCCTAGAAACCATTGATCTTTCATTGAATTATTAGATGCATAAGTACAACATGTATATGATAGTGATTACAGTTTTTTACTCGACTGAGCTTGAAAGGGATGAGCTTTGAGGATTTGATCTGGTTGATCATAGAAGGCTTCAAAGTCTTCTAACCAATCTAGTGGGGAAACTCTGTGCTCAGGGAGGACATGGAAACTGCAACTAGCCAGGATGGAACTCTTGGAATCCAGGAGACAAGTATTTTTGGGGATGAGTTCTAGGTGGAAGAACACTCTGTGGGAGGATATTGCAATGAGCTGTACTTTGACCTAGATGCATAACTCAGTTCATTTTTTATAAAAGAATATTAAGTATGAAAGCCAACGGGAAAGGAGTAGTGTGGGAGGTAAGCTTAAACATACAATCCATGGTTTATCCTCTTCCACTTATAAACTGACCAAAAACTTATCCCTATTATATCTGACAGGGGAGGTTATGTTTTCCCCCGCCATGATAGGGTCTACTTTTTCTTCTTAAAGGCCCAAGCCTGAGGACTTTTCCCTCCTGGATGACCCCCAAATTAAAGAAATTGCAGCCAAACACAAGAAAACCTCAGCTCAGGTACAGGCTGTTTGCCTTTTCTGTATTTTTTTCCCTCTTTGTAAAGTACTTTCCTCTTGGGCCAATTTCCACTTTTACAAAGAATGGTGAGGAAAGGTTTGGGATGTGGGCCACTTGCAGTTTCAAATGTCTTTTGTAGTATGATGCTTTTAAATGTGTCATTTTGAATCTGATTGCAGTACAAAAGGAGAGGAAAAGATTAAAACTGACCGCAACTGTAACTGGGTAAAATGGAGGGCCTCCTATGGAAATGTGTAGTTACAACTTTTACATACAGCATCCTTTGTTAGTTTCAAATTTTTTGCCAGTTGTGTTTACACATGGTTTTGTGTCATTATTAACACTAGCGATTAAATGAGCCTGTGCATATATCATGGTGGCTCTGCTAAGTTGCTTTTTTTTATCTTTGATCTAGTGGAATTATTCACCATGGCATATGAGAGTGGATATGGGGTTGTATTTCACTGATGACACACAACCTCTCTTTTTGTAGGTGGTGATCCGGTTCCAGGTCCAAAGAAATGTGAGTGTAATTCCCAAATCTGTCACTCCCCATCATATAGAGGAAAATTTGAAGGTAAGTGTGGCATGTTCTGGCCTCTGAGGGTGGCCGTGATACTACCTGGTGGCCCCTTGACTCTTGCTCCCAATTCCGGCTCCTCATGTTGCATAAATTGCTAATTTTATCCCCTGGAGGCGAGTCCAATTCACCTCTAGAAG